GACCAAAGATGCTTGGTCAGCTAAAAGGGTTTGCGCGTGTTTCGCTCACTTAAGAATTTAGCGGATGCGCGTTTAGCGCAGTTGCACTTTTGGTTGTAATAGGACTCCAAAGTATGCAAACGGTTTGTATGTTTCTAGCATATAATGTGGGAATGGAATTTATGTAGAAGTTCATAAAATGTTGTGTTAACTTGTATATAACTGAAATACTTTTCTTATAATCGTATGTCTGTATATCCGGCTGACTTTACTCTATATGATTGCTTTTATACCTTAAAGTATTTCCTTGGCTTCGATTGATGCAAGTTGCAAGAGTACAAAATGTTCGATTGTTCCCGAACTTAGCCCTTCCTTACTTGTTTGAGTTAATTTTAATTTTTGTTAAAGCATTTTTAAATTATTTAGAGGAGCTAGTGGAATTAAGGAAAAACAAATTTTATAATAATTCTATCCCCAAAAAGCTGCTCCTCAGTAGGAATCTCCGATAACGGATGACTATAGCATATAGCTGCCATACAAACTTAATGATCGCAAACAAATTATTCGAGCGAATCTTTTTTTATATGTGAAGGGCGCAACCGAAGTTAACGTTTTTCTTTTTAATTATATTTTTTGTTCCATTATTTTTTATACATATACTATATTTACGTATATTATTATAGTTGATTTTAAGTAAAAAGTTAACATTTATTAAAGAATTTAAAATTACATTAGGGGTATTCACTTGCTCTTTCAAGATTGCAGATTGCAAAATTGTATTTTTATACAGAGCACCCATTGCAGAATCTAGTGATATATGAACGGCTGATTCGATCAATTTATTGTGAATGACTATTACGCATGGCTATTGTGAATTGGCGCACCTTCTGCATACATTTTTAACAAAAAAAAAAAAAAAAAAAAACTGTAACAAATCTTTATAATTTAAGTAGAAATTATAAAATCTATTTAAAGCTTAGCTTCTTCAACAATTCAACGACGTAATATGTCTTTATGTACAATGACAGCTAAAACAGGGTTGCAATTATATTTTTCGTGACATTTCACGCAAATATACATCGGTTTTGGTCTGACATATTTTACAGCCATTGCAAATAATTTTCTGCGTGTGTTTGTTGTTGTGCCGGCGATACCCCTATTATCTAAAGGGCAAAATAACTTTTCCTTTGTGATAAAAATGAACAAAGGTCTTATGCAAAAACTGATGTAAATAAATGTACATACATATGTGCGTGAGTTTGAATCTCTCTTTATCACATGGGTATTCGAAATTGATACACTATATACCCATAGAACTCAATCTCATGTCTTTTTCACAGTCATTGCTGGCCATAAATCCATCAAAGCTGAAATTAGTCTTGTATTTTATAAATTCATTTTTTTCTGAAAAACTTAAGTTCAAACATCTGAAATTTCAAAGCTCTTATTTTAGAGGACACAGTCTATTTATTTATTTAAAGATTGTTTATTTTCTTTTTGTAAAGTAAAGTACATGCGCTCCTTCTGCTACCGCCCTCTCACCAACCACTTAGCCTGGTGAGAGATTTAAGTAAGTTTTGAAATATTCCATATCATATTGTAATATGATATTAGTTAAGATCTTTAGCGGATCGTGCTCTTCTATTGAAATTTGCAACACATGCAATCTTTGGCCACTTTTCTACAAAAATATGCGCATATATGTACATGTACATTAAGATCTGCTAACCAACTTTATAAGCTGGATAAAATTCTGGATTCGGAAAAATGTCTAAAGTTCACTTTCAGCTACCAGAACTCGCTGAGACCGATTAAATAATTTTCCTTGATATTTGTGCATTTAACTACAGTGTAATAATTTTTTTATTTGCTTAAAAATTATTATTTAAATACTATACATTTACATTGTAATTTTCAGATTCAGGATTCAGTATGGGAAGAATGCTATATTAATCATGTGAAGGAAGAGAAAGAAAGAAAACGAGAGGAATCCAAACAATTTGAGTTGAAGTTCTCCGGAACCGGATGTGTGCTAAAACAGCAAAATAAGAAGCCATACAATAAATCTGCACGCTAATTTGATAAAAACTGAACATGGGATCTCAGTTAGGTTTAAGAACACCCGCTATTGATATGAAACTGGTCAACCAATTTTTGTAATTTTTTTTTGTTAGACCGCAGGGGTCTCATAAAATAAATTATTTAATTAAAACTACATAATCTTTTACTGCGTAACGCAAAAACACCAACAAATCATAGCAAGTAAGAACACACCAATTTTTTTATAGTTTAAAAATTGGCAAAGATCGATGTTGGAGAAAACCATAGTTGCCTGTCCTTGGTAAAGGCAGTTGCAGATTAAATTTAAGTTAACCTGAAGTTGTTGAAGACATTTGTGTATGAGTACGTGCACATAAAAACAACTATCATCTTTTTTCGCTTTGCCATGCCTTATTGTTTTAAGTACCACACGCTTAAATATCCGCACTCGCCTATGTGCCATATAATATTTTTATTTTTAACAAACCACAAAAATCTGTATCTTAGATTGTTGCACATAACCGGGATTGACTGTATTTGTCAAGGATATTTTACATACATATTTACGCAGGTTTGTTGGAGAAGCTGTACAGCGGCAAGGGAAGCGGTGATAATCGGCGGCCGTTCGTTTATTTTTTTCCGCACAGCTCGGATTTTCTACCAACAATACAATGTTGTGACGCATTGTCACCACATTGACTCTTTCACAAAAAGTGAGCTTCGCCATTGGCTGACCGTGTGAACGGAGATTTCTCATGAAGCATTGAGTGTACATCTTTACATGCATATGTTGCATGTAGACAAATTTACAAACATTATGCGTATGGTCTGTCATATTTGTTTACATGCATACATAATTTTATGTATGTATATGAGCGCATGTGCGACCGCTAGATCTTTTAAGAAGATATCAAACCTTTAAGATGAATGTATAAATTTAAAACTAATTACCTTAACTTACATATATCAATTATTTGGATAATAATACAAACTGTACTTTATTATATATTTTTAATGATTTTATGGAATCATCATGAAATACATATGTATGTAGAYAAATTTTAATATACATACATACATACATATGTATTTATGTACATATATACTAAGTATATGCTTTGATACCAAATATATACGGATCAAATTTATATAAATCCCGTGCCGAGTCGGTTGCGCATAGAAAATAAACGAATCTCTAGGCGTAAATTTGTTTACACTGGAATTAGCATTATTTTTCTCATTTAACACTGAAAATGCTCAATTCGCTACTATCGTGGGGAAATACGCTTATAATTTGTCTGTGGTGAGACTGGATCGTCTCTCGAGTACCCCTTCGAAAAGTTACGATATTTGAAACGTGAACCAGGAATAAAGGGATGTTCAACTTATTCCAGTGTGACAGCACCTCAAAATTAGCGTTTTTATAACATTTTCCATTATGGCCAGATTGGACAAAATAATAATTTTTGGGCATTTAAATTAAAACAACCAACATTTAGTACGATTAAAAATTACTATATAGTGGTTATTTATTATATGGCGAAACTATTTAAATTTTTTTAAAGTATATTAGAACGACTGACTTTTGACCTTTCAATACCCAATAAAAGGATATAAGATTGTTAGCTCTCAATCCTCAAATGTTTTTAATAATTTTCCATTGAAAACAATACTATGATGCTTCAAATTACAAAACGCTTCATCAAATACCTTAAATTTCACAAATTTATTTAATTTTCATTGTTTTACATATTTTTTGTGATTTTGAACGATGCAACAAATTCCTCTGATAACATATTTCTTTGGTAAGATTTCAATCTGGCCATCGCTCGTTTCCAATTGATAAACGTCAAAACCTAAGCATGGATAATATGATACGAGACTCTGGCATTGGCTCTCTAGTTTCTCTCAAACGCGTTCCCTGATTATTTGACAGCGATGGAGATCAGGGAATTTCTGACAGTTGATTTCAGAAAAGGAGGGATGCCAGAAGTAAACCGCTATAATTACCTGAGGAAATTAGTGTGAAATGAAATTTCATTGAACTGTGCGAACATATTTTGGCAAAATAAATGTTTATGTAAATTAATTAACGATTTTGCATTTTAGCATTTATATATGTATGCATTTTCCATGTGTTTAATTTAGTGTTTTGTATAATTTATAAAATACCCAATCTAATATTTTTCAGCAGTGCCATCATTGGGAAATGTTATAAAAAAGGAGAGTTTTGACAGCTCTCTCTCGAATCAAAGAGTTTCGTACCATATTATCCATGTCATAAGATATTCACTGCAGATCACTGTCTTATATCAAGTTATCTATGGCGATCGTTCGTTTGTGTTTTCGGCACAGCTTGGCTTTTCTACCAACAACAAGAAAACAAAACGTGATCTTCCCATTGTACACGTTGTGGAACCGCGGGACATTTAGCAAAGGTATGCACAAACGTTCCGAGCTGCATGCTCTACAAAGGGGAGCACTCAGTACTGAGCACCACTTGTCCAAAGTATCTCGAGATGATGAAGTCTCTAAGTAAATGAGGATACTACAGTTAAAAATTAACCATTATGCAGCGGCTCAGGATTTGCTAGAACAGACAGTCATAGAAGAGAACATTGATGTCGCCATACTAAGTGAATAATACTCCCAGCGTCCGGAAAGCACATGGACTGCAGACAAATCTGGCAAAGCAGCAATATGGTCCTGCAAAGGTCAACCTTTTAGGACCTGCTCCAGAGAAGCTCATAACTGCTTCACATGGGCGAATATACATGGGATATATTTTGTAAGTTCCTGTGCTCGTCCTAGCGCAGCAATCACCGAATTCGAAAACACCGATTATAATAGCGGGTGATTTTAATGCCTCGTCAAGTGTATGGGGCAGCAGATGTACAAACCATCAAGGGCGGCTAATTCAAGAATTCCTGAGTCAAACGCACCTAACAATATTGAACACCGGAACACAAAATACGTACAAAAAAGGGAATAAAGGATCTATTTTTGACATTATGTTTGCAAATGTTTCGCTTAGTAGGCACATTAAGTGGGCGGTGTCAAACATATACACAAACAGCGATCATATGGCGCTTATAGCACAAATCTCGTACTCCCGAGAGCCCGAACTTCTTAGCAGAAACACTTTCCGAAAGCGAAGCTAGAAGCAACAGGAATTCGACTCAGACCTGTTTGAGCTAGTCTGGAGTGCATCAAAAGCATCAGGTGACGATCCGCCCACTTGGTATGGACTGTGCGAAAGGATATGGTCGCAGCATGTGATGCAAAAATGCGTAGAACATCACATAACAATAAGCGGCGGCCTGTATATTGGTGGAATGAGGAAATTTCCATGCTGAGGAAGCTTTGTCACTCAGCCAGACGGCGTCTACAGCGTAGCCGGAGTGAAACGAACTAAAATCGCCTTAGAGATGAATATAAAAGCCACAAGAAGCTCCTAAAGTCGCAGTTTCACCCCCGTTAGTCACGGAAGAAGAGCTATTGGCCATAGCAAAGAAAATCAAAAACACCAAGGCGCTTGTTTTGGATGGGATACCCAACAGGGCCCTGAAGGAAGATATAAGCTCAAAACCTCAACTATTCGCTAAACTGTACAACGCGTGCATAAAGGAAGAAGTGTTCCCCGACGCGTGGAAAATACAGATTGGTTCTGCTCCCAAAACCAAAGAAACCACCTGAAGAACCCTCATCGCACCGACCACTGTGTATGCTCGACACAATGGGTAAAGTGTACGAAAACATAATAAGAAACCGCTTGGAGTTAGGAATCCAGAAAGCCGGCGGATTATCAGAGAGACAATACGGCTTTATAAAAAAGAGATCCACTATTGACGCACTACGAGAAGTTGTTGATACTGCGAAATGTGCAGTAAGTGGCAAAAGGTGGAAAGGTGGCACAAAAAAGTACTACGCGCTGATTTCCCTGGATGTCAAGAATGCGTTCAACTCGGCAAAATGGGCACACATAATCAAAGCCCTGGATGAAATACGCGCCCCTGAATACCTCATAAACATTATATTGAGCTATTTTGAAAACAGAAGGCTGCTGTTTGATACAGACGAAGGTACCAAGAGCTACTTTATCTCGAGTGGAGTACCCCAAGGGTCAGTGTTAGGCCCACTATTATGGGACCTCATGTATGACGGGGTGCTAAGAAGGCAGCAACCAAAAGATGTGAAACTAATAGCATATGCGGACGATCTCATGGTGGTAGCAATTAGTGCATAAATGGTCTACGCCATTGGTTCTCTTCTGTGAGTCTGGAACTGGCGGAGCAAAAAACTGAAGTTTTGCTCATAAGCACTAGGAAGGTAGAAGAACAAATAGAGCTCACCATAGGGGAGTGCGAGATTACTTCGCAGTCGCAGCTGAAGTATCTGGGAGTAATATTACATTCGAAATTAAAATTTAAAGAACACCTGGAGTATTCCTCCAGTAAAGCAAACAAAATTTACAATGCTTTATCGAGAATGATGACCAACACAGGCTGTGTGCGTTCCAGCCGGCGATTTTAATATTCCTCATCCAAAGGGCGCTGGACTCACCGACTTATACCGGACATCCACTCGTGGATAGACGGACGACAAGGGGACCTAGACTTTTATCTGACCCAAATACTTAGTGGACATGGGTGCTTTAGAAGCTACCTTTTCAGATTCCACAATGACATTAGTCCGAACTGTTCGACATGTACAGAGCATATAGATTTTCAAAAAAAAGGGAAAAACTAAAAACCACACTCGGTGGTAGTTTTACGGTCGATAATTTAGCGACACTCATGTGTCAGTTGACTGATAATTGGAAAGCTGTCAGCGAACCGTCAGCATCCATAATGACAAAACTGAGAGTTTTTGAACAAATTAGTGTCCGTCAGTCCGCACAATAGAGGAGACTTAAATGTCCTGTCCCTCCCACGAAGTAATACCTAATCGGTGGTTCCGTGGGAGAGCCTTGAGTTAGGAGTAGGTTAGGTTTAGCAGATTAAAGTTCCGCACTCCGGCTTTCGATGCTTCCCCCTACTATAAAATAAAAAAAAATAAAAATAAAAAAAAAAAACCTACAAAGTTGTGTGTGGAAAAATGTACAAACATTTTGCTGATGGTTCGTTTTGTTTACCTGCACACATAATTACATTCGTGAATATGTGCGATCGCTTGGTCTTTTAACATGTAATCTAAACTTAAAGGCCTGCGAATAAATACACCGCCTGTGAGGCGAAGAATTTTTGTTTTGCAATATTTCCTGATCGTTCACTCGTATTAAGGTGTGCGCTTGTGCCAACTCAGTTGAGCTTGGGCACAGACGTATTTTATTTTGCTGCGTTGCGTTATTTATATATAGATACGTGTGTCGCCTCTGAGGCGAAGTTTACCAATAAAGGTACTTTTTTTGTACATATTCGTTTGCGCATTTGTTTTTTTTTTTGCTACAATGTTGAGTTTTTGCATAATTTTTATAGTTTTTAGAGATGGATCCTCCTGATGTGTAGTTACTCTTACTATTGTAAGCTGTTGACAAAGACTATACATGGAACGAATCGTCATTTAACTGCCGATAACTAGTTTACTTCCATTCCGCTAGCTGAGCAGTTGCTTCAACCACCATACAACCTTACTTTTATTGGAACAGTTCGGAATAATAAGCAAGAAATTCCTGCGGAGTTCAAACATAGTTCATCACGTAAAGTTGGGACATCTCTTTTTGGATTCCACGAAAAGCTCACTACAAGCCAAAGCCTCAAAAAACTGTTCGTATGCTCTCTACGATGCACGACAAGCCTTCCGTTGACTGCGCTTCGGGTAAGCCAGTACTACTTCAATATTATAATGATACAAAAGGTGCTGTGGATACTTTTGATGTAATGTGTGGCCACTCAAGCTGTAGCCTTAAAACCAAGCTTTGGCCACTTTGTATGTTCTATGGTATGTTGAATATGGCTTTACTCAACAGCTATGTAATTTATATATCCAATTTTGAAGTTTTAAAAATAAAGCCAATTTCAAGGAGAGAATTCCTCTAGAAACTAAGCAAGGACCTTTGTAGTGACTGGTGCGCCATTCGTATAAGAGAAAGGCCACGTTTGCAGAAAAGGGTTTTTGCAGCAATAAATGACGCGATTGGTGATAATACTGATGACGATACAGACGAACCAAGTATAAAAAAGGGCAAAAGATCAATGTGCGATTTTTGTCCTCCAAA